GTGTTCTATTAAAACAAGAATTCACATGATTGTGGTGGGAGTCAGTTTAAATATTATTTAAATATAATCCCAATTAATATTTATGAACCACGTAGGTTCTTTCTTCACTTATAAGCAACAAAGGCATGGTAACTTTAAAAACGTAACTTCTATAGGTAAATTAAATACCTAGCGTATTTGCGACAATAAGGGCACGGATACAGGAATCAGGTGACTTGTCACAGAAACACTTTTGCAATCCTTATAACCGATGGATTGCCACACATTACGCAGCACATGGTCACCGGCGTAATTAACGCACCTCCACAGAGCCTTGTTTGAAAGGGGATAGTAAACACGTGCCAATCTAAAATTTCCACTGAACTGAATTCACTTTTTATTACTTTCTGTAATCCACACGCACTTTTTCCAACGTTACATCGTTTCATCGTTAACAACCGAAACTGATGTTACCTAGACTTTTTGGGCACGAATTTTCATAGTAATTTCTCAATATAATTCATAAATTCAAATGCTTTAATTTATATCCTATGGCCCCCAGTAGGAGCAAAGGTCACCCAAAGAAGGTCTCTACCACGATTACGTTCAAACACTAAAGCAAAAATCATGGAAAATTAAAAAAAAACTACTTACGTTCCGTAATTATTGCACACACGTCAATCCCGTTGGGGCTTTATGGGAAAACTATACTTATAAGATTTGGTTGACCTGATATTGACCAAGCTGAATAATAGATGCCAATAATAATACCTAAAGAACAAATAACTAAACAATTGGATATAATAATGGCAGCATATGAGTTCATTTCTTTTAGGATTCTGTGACCCTATTGTTTAGATGTTTATGTGTGTTTACATAACAGACCCTTTATTCCCCTCTACTTACCATTGCACCCCTGACACGTTGCCCGACCAGGGAATCATAATCAGAACCTTTTCATTTAGAAATGTTCCGCATAAAACGATACAACTTTTTTCTTTATACGTGTACAGTAAATGGCGCGAAAATAATGTAAGTACTGACAAGATTTACGTAGTAGGTTGTGCAATATTCATTTTTTAATGTACTGGACGTGTGGACGGCAAACGTGCAGGCGGAATACCTGGAGGTCAGCAATTAGCACCATGGATACCCGCAACAACGGAAGAGTTGGCGTTGCCGACCGGTACCGGAACCGGTACGGTTAGGCATTTGGAGATTTTGGAATAGGAGAAGGATTGAGCCTCTGATAATCTTATTCACATGGCGAAACACAACGCTGTGGTTGTTTGAAGCATGGCTCTCCCGCGCTTACATTACAGGTTTGGTTGGTAACAAGACCTTTTCAAAAGTAGAGTTGAGTTTAAGCACTATATCTACAACTTCAACTAGCTTTTGTCTCAGTTCCTGATCTGAAGTAAGTCTTTTGTTTTGTACTAGTACCTCTGTCGATTTCCAAGTATAATTCTTACTCACATAAGTTAGTCTTAGAGCACACTTTTTTTCGATAAATATGTCGCAAAGGCACGATACACATCGTACCAGCGGAGTCAGAACCTATTCACACCGATTGTAATATTTACCCACTTTGCTAAGAACAATGGCTGACTTATACGCTAGTATGGGAACGTGCATAATGCAAATATTTTGACACGAGTATCTACCAAAAACATAATGTGACTAACAAGTGATTGTTTTCCATTCACGAAGATAATTTTACCACATCGTATGGTTAGCTTGATACCTAGACAGAGAGAAGCCACTAAAGCTATGATTAATGTAACGACTAACCAAATTATAAACAGAAATGTTATTAGAATGTGCAGTAATAATGTACAATATGGTATACTTAAAATAATGTGGCAGTTACGATCAAGCTCGCTGTTATTGCAGCGGTAAGAGCTATCTTTGAAGATTAGCTCTGGGCCTAATAGGTCCGATGTTAGCTGAGGTTGCGGAACAAGGTACCGTCGACTCAGCCGGGTGCACAAGAAAGAACAGGAGAGTTTTTAGTCAACAGTCTGACACCTTGCTCTCACCATACACAGGGCGAGAGAAGTCATATGATGACTTACACTCCTCAAAAAGCCCGGCCCGGGGCAGAAGTTAAAGACAGTTTTTAATCTATTAAGTTAGAGTCTGATACTCCTATCTCTCACTCTACCACGGTGGTGGGAGAAATAATTTGATGGATTCCCCCCTCAAAAAACAAAGGATGCGGCAAATAACTATAACTGAATCACAATCCTATTTTAAATCTACAAGGCTTTTTTAAATTTTGTGTCAACGGAGTAGTATCTATTGTACTCTGTTGACGTAAACATAATATGTAGTTCACGTTTCTTATGTAATTAATATGTATTTGTAATGAACAGTTTCAATAGATCAAATAGGTAATTTCAATAAACCCAAACGTACTGGTGACTCGTGATTAAGGTATATTAAATATCCGTCTTAAAAATGTTCTGTGCTCCGGTAACATTCCACTAAGTGGGTCAATCACCACCATAACTTAGTTATGGTAAAAAAGCAATTTATATGTACTAGTTACACAACTAACATCGAAACATTCGCACATTCAACGGATTTTACAAGCAATATTAGGAAGTCAAGAACTTATTAGGAACTGGTGCAGACCCTAGAACTGTTTAGGCATCTAAATTAGTGGAAAATATAAGTATTTTCCACTTACTTACATAGTGACACGAGAAATATATTTTTTAAAGGACTGCTCACTAACATTTTTATATTTCATTCTCTTAAGTAAGTATTCCTTTGTTGTCTTTTTGTATTTACTAAGATAGTGCGTAGTAGATAGGATATGCTTATAGGTATAAGGTTTATTTCAGTGACTTCTCCAACCCTGGATTAGGCGAGCGGCACTGTTACACTGATTACAAACTCTTAACTTCCGACTAAAAACCACTCCGTTACATCTCCTACTGCGAACTTGAGCTAATCATAATATGCTTAGAGCATCTTTCATATCCTTCATATAAATATGCGAGAAAAAAAATGTAACATTCAAATTAAATTCTATACTTACTTATTCTACTATAGTACCCATATACTATATATGCATATGCTTATATACTATACATAGTGGCTATCCTGACATTGTGATACAGACCCTTAATGTATTCTAACCTGTCTTTTTATGCCTATTAGTGCTGTCAAATTCACTCCAAAAACATATACATTTTGGGAGTGAATTTTTCAGTATTCGGTTCAGCAGTAGCAAATGCATAGTTTTTGCCTGTTACATATGAATGACTGTTATTCTTTTTTTACCCTAGGGCGAGAGGGAGAGTCGGACTTTTACTGAATAAAAATCACCCCGTACCTTCTGTTGCTCCGAGTGGGAACAGCGGTAGAATATTACATTTGCACCCGTAGCTCTGACTTTATCAACCACTTCGATGTAATTATCGCAGTAAATACCGTGTGGGATTTAACATTAGCAGTTCATATGACCCCAGCGTTAAATAAAAAATAAGTAAACACGTATTATTAGTACGAATAACAATCTCAAAAACCAAACCTCATTGACAATTACCAAAACGTCACTATGCCGATTATTCATTTTAATAGTTTTATGACGTGCCCTCCTAATAATTTATGATTCTAAAGCCTCGTAGTCTTTCAATTTAACAAATAAGCCTAAATGAAGCAGATAAAGGTGTATATTGTTTTTTTTATGTGATACAGCTGTAAACATGCAGGCAAATTACCTGATGGTAAGCAACCGGATAACCGCAACACCGGTGTTGCAAGTGCGTTGCTGACCTTTTGGGGATAAGTATGTGGGCTTAGATCAGTTTTGGGGAGAGATTGGGCATCCAGTAAACTGACTCATATGGCCAAAAACAACGCTATGGTTGTTTCACGAAGTTTGTCTGTAAGGCCGTGGTATAACTCCGGATGAGCCAGCCCATTTGTGCCGAAGCATGACTCTCCCAGACTTGAAAATAGCTAATTTCGCATTAAATTACATAATAACATTGATACGAGATACTAAATTCGAGCTGTCTCTATCTAGTTTAAGGGAAACCTATCAGAGTAAACAGTACCTAAAAGATGAGTAAATAAATAATACAATTGTTTGCAGCATAGTTTGACATCTTGGCCGGCTGAAACAACTTCCTCTGCTTGTTGGACGTCCAGTCATTGTGCGGGTGTTTGTAAACATATAACGGCCAATTTATCACACAATGAACTATTGTTTACCTCGGATTATTATAGAAATTGCCTAAACTCAATTACAACATTTACCCCTGATACTATTTCTGAATATTCGCTAAATGCTATGCTAAAGTTTTTGTTATTGATTACAATAGCCATTCAAGATTTTGTTTTGGTTTAAGCTGACATGACCATTATTGTTTTCTGAACGTCTTTGATTGAGTTTTTCTTCTCGTATGCAGTTCCTGCTTTTATTTCAAGTACAAGAGTTAGAGGTCATGCAGGGATAGTTGTCTTTAGTGTTCTTGTTATTTTAATAAATATATCTAATTAAATATTTCACCAGATAATTTAAATACTTAAACGAGTTTCATCAGTTTATATTCAAAAAAAAATATCCAGACGACTTAAGTATATGTGAAAATTTAATTTTTAATACTGAATATTATTACTTATTTCTTCTTTTAGGTACTTAATATTTTCGAATTAACGAAATAAGATAAATCGAAAAAAAAACGATTGCTAAATATTACCTACTGATTATTGTCACACAATAATTAAAATTTGAATGAGTTTGGAAATTCGTACAATAAATACTAGGTGTCTAGCTTGGTAGAAACTAATTAACAAATAACCTACGCCAATATTTTCCAGATTCAATTTAATTTAAACAAACATGAAATAGTAGCTCAGGTCAGCTTCTGCTTCTTCGTTCAATACAATAAAAACTCAAAATTTAAAAATAAAGAATATTTTCCAACAAAATATTTATGTTTTTAAATAAGAAAGCACTGCACAAAATGTTCAATGGTAATATGGAATAACACTGCACTGTGTACCTGTTTTTACGGAGCGTGGCGTTGGCGCCGGTAGCCGGGGAAGCGTGCGATCGGTCGCAAGTCGCAAGTCGCAAGTCGCAGCACGTGTTCAACCACAAATTCGCGAGCTACGCAGGGAGGCGAAGCGTGTCACGGTGCGCCGCCTGCGACCTATACTGGAAGAGAACCTTCGCACTCGCGCCGATTTTACTCGCCCCTCTACACAACATAACACCTTAAAAGTAAAAGTGGTTGATCCCGAAGGCGTGGCAGCCGGCCGGCCAACAGCCGTGACTCGGCATTGCCTACACCACATTATGTTATTATCAAGGTGCGTGGCTTGCCAATCGTGATAGCTATCACGCTTGCCAATCACGCATTTTAATAAGGAAATGTCAAGATCAAATTTCGGTTGTCTAGGTCTCTTACAAATAATCTAGACTCACCTAAAATAAAGCATTTATTGACCTTAGTTGTCTTTCATTGTCTACTGTTGGCGGCAATAAAAAGGAATGTACGTAAATTGAAGTTAGGTACTGAGTCAAAAATGTAAATAAATCTTAGATAGATACACATACAAAAGACAATTAAAAAACTGACCTTTCTGTAAACGATTGACGATACCTAGATATTAATAGGTAATATCTACATCTCTACTATATTATTATAAGTTTTGCTGATACACTGCTAATCAAGAATTCATTTGAAAAATATTTTACTTATTTTACCAGTGGAAGGTGCTATTTTCAAGGATTACTTTTTATCCCGATAATCCTGTAGGAATAGGACCAACTTGAAAGTAATCTTAATTCCGCGCAGGTGAAGCCGTAGGTGGAAGGCAATTATACATGTCACTGTTAGTTCAAAACTGTTAGGCGATTAATTATTAGGTATAATGACCAAATGCAAACTACGAATTAGGTGATGCACACACTGCAATGCACAGGTGCCTAGTACCTAGTAGGTATAAGTATCCTTCCACGGCTCCACGCAAACCAGTACTTTAATATTCAAGCAATTAAGTAGGTATTAATAATGATAGAAGATAATGTACAAGTGAGTATTATGGCGCCGGTGCAGCGACATACCTACCCAGGTACTAAGGTACCTACTAGATAAATGCCGCAACTATGTAGCTGGTTCCCAGGCTACACAATTGCCGGTTTTTGTCCTCGATCAATATAATACAGCAGTATTGGAGACTGTGAGAGCAACAGGAAACATGAGCCCAGCCCTAGTGTCGGAAGAGTTAGCTCATGTCCCTGCAAAAACAATTAGAGCGAAACGGAATTCGGGTCCTATCGATTTACATTATCTTCGTTTCGTAACTCTATATACCTACCTAACTACATAAATATGTTGTTAACAATACCTCGCAAACATTTTTGACTTATGACAAATTTGAACAATGCAATAAATGTTTAATTCTCTGAAATTAATTAGGTAATGAAACTTTCCACGTTAGCTCTTTAATTTTAATGCTAGCTCAGGACTTTACCGTTCAGTAAGTGACTAATATTATGTCGGACTGCAGTTCGATTAAAAATTGCACAGTTTTTAATCAAAATGGTGTGGAAATCAATAATAGTTTTGTTAGTTATTTCATTAGGACTACGGACGTCAAATGGACGTGAAACGAAGAATTTAGCATGGAATGGAGGACCAGTGAATTTACAATGTGAGTTTGGCCCCGACTCGTGGACTAATGGATATGTGAAGGAAAACGTGATTGCTGTGAAGGCGCTACAGTTTCAAGATGCGATTTATGTAATCACACCGAGGTATGATATTCATTGCTTACAATATTGCAGTAACTCAATCCATAAAAGAGTAAGACTAAGACATTACTAACAGACTAACTAAGAAATAGTAAAAATAGTTAGTATCTAAATAATAGTTTAGTTAGTCAGGAATTTGATAAAATGTGAGCCGCTTAGGTTTCCGAGGGCCGCGCACGCTATATACTATAGCAGCGATAAGACCCCTCTTTGAGGAGTGGCTTGAGAGACGCCACGGCGTCCTTCCGCCTAACGCAGGTGCTTACCGGGCACGGCAGCTTCGGTAGGTTCCTGTTTCGGATCCAGCGGGAGGAAACGCCCGAGTGTCGTCATTGTGAGGACCACCTAGAGGTTACGGTTACGGTAGCGGTATGCCCTGCCTGGGCTGAGCACCGCCGTAGCCTCAGGGAAGTGATGGGCGGCGGCGACCTCTCGCGCCCGGCCTTAGTCGAGGCCATGGTGCGGAGTGAGAGGAACTGGGACGCCGTCTCCTCATTTTATGAAGCAGTCATGCTCGCAAAGAGAGAGGCGGCTCGCTTGAGGGAGCAATCCTCCTCCTCACGCCCCAGCCGCCGCAACTGGCGACACTACGGGCGTCGGGGATCGAGGGACGATCTCCGGCCACCGTAAGCACGGGTCTGCGGTCGGCGAGTAAGGGCAGCTCGCCGCCCGACTAGAACCAGGCCCGAGCGTACGGCGCGTAGCGTTCCGCGCGCGCCTCAAAGAACTAATAGACCACCACAGACGGGGCCCTAAAGGGCTGATGTTCAGCCGGGGTTGCGGGGTAAGCGCAATGAGGCACCGCGACCTCGGCCCAGAGCAGGAGAAGGAACAGGGGGGTTTTTAGTTAGTAAGAGTCTGACATTCCCTCCCGCCCGGCCCTGGGCGGGAGAAGTCAATTGATGATTTTCCCCTCACAAAAAAAGCCGCTTACGTTTGGGTTATTCAGAAAAGTATGAAAACAAACCATAACTGCATACTCAACAATAGAAAAACAAAAAGATTATATCATAAGTAGTAGGTACCTACGTATCAAAAGTACGACCGACGCAACGTATCTTGGCGAGTCTGAAGTTAGCCGTTTGTATGTGCAATGGATCTTTGAGGAACACAATTGTGTACTGCGCAGCTAATCGGCTAACTTCAGGCTCGCCAAGATACGTTGGCGATATTGTACACAATACCTACATGTCGTTATATCGACTACCTATTAATGCAAAATGATTAAAAAACAATCAAACTTTTTTGACTAATAATCAAGAAATTAATTATTATACGTAAACATATTTATAAAATTGTTCAGTTGCCAATCATGGTAAGGATTATGTAGACACAGTCATAACCTCTCCTAAACTACATTCGAACACTTTTTTTCTGGTCTGGTGACCTAGTGTTAAAACAATCCAGTTCTTTGCCTAATGCCGAGTCATATGAAACAGACAAGTCGCTTTATTACAACATCGATTTAATTATAATGTAATATCATCGATCACTAATAAAGAACTTTATTAGTGATATATCTACTTATCTATACCCCAATTTAGAGTTCCACAGTTAAAATAAAGATTAAATTAGGTTGTATTTTGTCAGTAATTTTTTTAATTAAATAGGTACCTAGGTACCTACTTACCTACCTTGCATCGAAGTCGACTATTATGCAGATATAAATAATAAACAATTTGTAATACTTAAAACATAACCGTTTTAATTTTAAACCCCATTTTTTTTTATTCGCTTAAGCTGCTCCATTTTTCTCGTCGGGACCTGTTAATACTTAGATACTTATATTTCCAGAATGAAGCAAGACGTCCTGGCGACACTTTGGTTGATTAATCGAAATAAAAATGGCGTAGAACTCCAACCGTACCCTGAGCTACGAGACCACAAACTAACTGATTGCAATGCTATTCAAAATGCTGTTGACTTCTATTTGGATCATCTCGTAAGTATTGATTTATTTACCATTTTTATTATCATAGTATGTTCTAGCGACCTGCCCCGGCTTCGCACGGATGCAGTGGTGATACTAAATTTCCCCATTATTTTATGGATTTTATTATTTTTTTAAGTACGTACGTTCATGCATGTAGCGTGGGCCACCTGTAAAAGGAGACGGTAAAATAACTAAACGGCCCATAGGTACTCACAGGCGTCGCAAAGTTGCGCGCATATATTATTATACTGATTTCTATCATTCTTTTTTATTGAATGGGTAATCGTGTAAACTTTTTTTATTAAGGATGAAGCAGAGTGTTTTAAACGTACAAATATAATCTGAATGCTCCGAACTGCTAAGCTATCAGGAGTTACACGTGTTACTGTGAGTCAACCATAAAACATAGAAGAAGAGGTATATGCTGTTGTAAAATGTTTTTAAAATAATTGTGGCGAGCATTTCCGTGATACATGATTTCTATGTAAGTTTAACCATTAATGCTGCACATGCGACGGAAGCTAAAACAAGGAGAAACTTCTCCAGTTTTCACAATATTTTCCTTCACTACTCTGCTCCTTTTATTTGTAGCGTTATAAAAAATATACTATAACCTTCCCAGGATATCAAGAATAATTGTGGCAAGCTTCGTTAAAATCGAGTCGATTTTATTTCTATAAGGAACATACAGACAGACAAACAAAATTGCATATTTGGCATCAGTATCGATCAGTAATCACCCCTGATAGTTATTTTGAAAATATATTTCATGTACAGATAATTGACTTCTCTACAGATTTATTATAAGTATACATGTGAGAGGGATGTGCTCGCTCTGACTAAAAACCGTGATACACCTACCTATGTGTTCCCCAAAGGAAACAACCTAAAAGGGGTCCTAATTAAGTCTTGCGCTTTCAATACCAGTCTTAAAATAAACTACTTATAAGGCTTTATTACATTTTCTATTGAATTTTGCCATAGGTAGGTAAAGTACCTAAATAATGACCCGCCGGACGGCGTAATAGGAACATTTGTTCTGGTTGTAGCTGTGCGATATTTAAATTACATCCGATTGACATATAATATTAGATAGGTACCTACCTAGACCTTTATAAAACGAGTCGGTTACTAGGGTTCTCTAATGAATTTCCGTTGAACGATTGGTGATTACGAAATGTTCTATCTATAAATATTTGTGAAGTAAATAGCACACTAGACAAAGACTCCATATCGATAAGTAAAACGTTCGCACAAATAGGCCTGCAAAAAATAGAACCTAAAATATCATTAGTAATTGCTTCATGAATAAATCAATCAATGCTAAATATGTTATAAATCTTTTAAGTATTTGTTAGCAATTGTAAACAAGGTCATTTGGCAAATATTTCGACCATCGAACAGCCCCTGTAAGCCTCTGGCAAGTTTGCATAATTGCTTAATTTAACACTGACAATATTACCTACTGTAAGTAATGAAGTTGCGGCTTAGAATTAAAAACAGAAAACATTCACATGTCAGCTTGTGACATTTCATTCATACTCCATCTTTCGGGTAAGTATAACAATGATGTCTAGTCAGTCCCTCCAGAACTCGTCCAGAAAAATATGTTTTATGGGACAAGCCTGCCCCAACTTCCCAAAACCGCTGTAACTCCTGTAAGTCAAGATCTACAGTAGATAAAACCATGAAACGTTAATCGTCCCAGGGACGTAAATGACTGTCTTGGATCCCGGGACAAAATAAATCAGAAGATATTATTTAAGGAGAAATAAGAACGAAATAATTTCCACCTTCCTCGTTAAATTTAATACAGACAAACATGCTTTATCTAAACTAACCACCTACTTATACATATTTTGTCCACAGGGAAAGCTGTGGATCCTCGACACTGGAGTTATCGATACACTGACAAATCCAAAATGCACATGCCCGCCAAAAATCGTTATCATCAATTTACTCTTTGGAAAGTTAACTAAACGCATCGACATAAGCTCTTCTCTTTTGGAAGCCAACTCCTTGCTACAGAATATTGTCGTTGAATATGATTTAGGCGGGAACGCATTCATGTAAGTAGCCAACATAAGTATGTAGCAGAATCAAATCAACCAAAACTATTTCGCTAGTCAATTGGCAAGCACGGCAATTATCTATCTACATTGTTAAGATATTTTTAATTGGTTACCTAGGCCTAGTTTTTGCAACAAGCAATAATAAAAACCTTAATGAAATTAAAACGAAATCGATTTAGAGCTCAACAATATTGAAGTTTCCTAACATAACATGCCTGCCTGCCTACCTACCTGAAATAATTATGTTGATAGTACTTTTAACATCTACTAAATGTGTTTATAAGATGACCAGCTCTTTGAATGTTTTTAAATATAGATTGTTTTTAAATATAGATAATTATTATGTAATTTAAAGTACATAATCTGTAAAGATTATTAATAGCTCTTAGTGACTTGAAAGTATGATTTACATTTTGAGAGTCGTTGTCCTGACAGATGTCTTGTAGGTAAGTATTTCGTAATTTTTTCAGTGGTGCTGTAATAAAATCTAGTTAGCTTAAATAAGCAACACCTATCCACCTACTTGGTAACATTATTTACCAGCGGACTATCTATCGTATTTCATCTAGCATTTCGTAATGTGTCTAGTTAGAGTTAATATTATTGAAACATTATTTATTATCTACAGTGACTAAATTAGACTAAGCGCCTATTTATTTCATTGGCATTGTAGTCGCTAGCACACACAATAAGTTAGATAGATACAAGTATTTATTTTATTTATTTATTTATTTACATCACTAACAACCATCATTACAGATAAAATCCAATTCGATAGTGTAGCCATCAGTCTTACAAAATACAAAAGTAAGAACTTATAATCTAATTATTTAATGTATACTTACCTACTATAATTTAAACAATCACAAAGAATAAACAAGAACATAAAAAATACTAAAAGGTAAGGTAATAAACAAATATCAAACTTAATTCCTAAACATTCTTAAAATTATAAAGTGAATACTATAATAAGTCTTAAAGTAGTTCCTCTATATGCTTGTCCCTATATTATTATAGGTAGGTAGGAAACACATATTCTTTATGGAAGCAAACAGGCTGTTAGAGGACAAATGGGCTGACGTAGTACCAACGGGTACGGTTACCGCCACCGATACTGCATACCGTGTCGCGATTTCGATTTCCGCACGGAAAAATCTTTATGTGACCTACAAATGTTTGTAACATGCAAGTTTTGGTTTTGGATGTCTGTAAAAGCACGTCACACCAGAAAATTTGGCTTAAGACATATTTAAACAAAGTTAGTCGGGGAAACTAAGTACCTATTAAAGAAGGAAGAAAGAATGCTTTTTTATGAGGGGAAAATCGTCAATTGACTTTTCCCGCCAATAGTGAGGAGGGAGGGAGTGTCAAACTCTTACTGATTTAAAACCATCCCGTTCCTTTTCCTGCTCTAGGCCGAGGCCGCGGTGAAAACCCAGGTTGAAAGAATACTACCTAAATACCTATTCAAGAATCGATTTTGTAAGCCTAATGTGTATCTTCGTCTTCTCTAGATATGCATCAGACGCATCACGTGGAGCAATCGTAGTACACGAGCTGTCGTCAGGCGCTGGTTGGTCAGTGGTTACCTGTGGTCCTGCCACTGGCCTGCAGATTTCCCTGGTCAAGCGGATGACACATACCGTCTTGATCGTGGTCAGATTACACCACCCTGGCATCGTTGAGCTAGACACCACTGCTTTACGCAGAAAAGATTCCATTACTCCACTCACAGGTACCTAAGCTGGTTTCTTTTTTTATTTTATGGGACGGCAAATTAGCTTTACTCGATGGCAAGCAATTAGTGCCGCCCATGGCACAGCAACGGAGGAGTTAGATACATGTGCGTTGCCAAACTTTTGGGGATTAGGCATTTGGAGATTTTGGGATTGGGGAGGGACTGGGGTAAGGGAAGGATTGGGCGTCCGGTAACCTCACTCACACGGCGAAACAAAGCTGTTGTTGTTTTACGCCAGGCCGCACACTTGAAAATGGTTATTGTGAAACGTGTTCGTTTATTATTTTATTTCCCATGTCATTCAATTAGATTCTTCTATTATTTTTTAGTTTTTGGAGAGCATAGCAAGCCAGTGGTATTGTTGGGTGCAGACGGTTACCACATTTATCTCCGTCACATTGAGTGCTCGGATGTGTTGGTGTGGAACACGCGGGACCCGTACAACTCGTCTCGCCTCGACAACATCCACTCAGCCGGCCCTCAACTGACTACTACTTCAGTAGCTGCTGATCCATTGAAACCTATGTTACTGATCCTTGATTCAGACTACCTAACAACGCTTCGCGGCAACTCACCAACGTACCATAAGATTACTTTCGTTAATAAAAAAATACATTGAAAATGTTGATGTGTATTATTATTTTTTGCAAGTCTCCGTTCTTAATAAGTTTCGCTTCTATCTAGTAATTTTGCATAAATTACTTGTCTAGTGTCTACCCAATTGAAAAAAAAACAAGTGTCATATAATATTAGGCAAGTAAGTACCTGTAATCCTTGTAGAATACTATGTAACCTAGTCATTATTTGAATTATTGCACACAGACTTTTAATTGGCCAACATGATTTGATTGGCATAATTTAGAAAAAAACTGCGGAGCTAATTATACTTCTGTTGCAAAAATATCTGCACTTAGCCTGTAGAGATAAATGGCTGATAAGATAACGAGAGAATGAACATACGTATAGCGATATTTCCAGGCCACAATACTTAGTACACCTATATCCTAATAATAGCTTTCCGGAATCAATTTGGTTGTACAGCCTATTATGTGTACAGACTAACCATTTATCAAGTTGGTTCAAGGTAGGCACCTTTCGAGCGTTGTCTGCCGTCTGACGGGTCTTGATCTAAGTAATGCTGTATCACTAATCGAAGTAATCAAACCACTTGAGGTGGCAAGGTGACCTAATTATATTAAAAACAATATGTTGCAAAAACTAATAAGTTAAGCATATTATAAGACATTTCCTAATAAAAGGATAAGATAAAATGAAACAATCAAACTGTGGACATAACGCTTATATTGTAACATAACATGGTGAAATTAAAATAAACATCTTTAAATTAAAACAACGAACATAATACAAATACTCGGAGGTCGGCCCATGCTGTAGTTTTGATATATACGTAGATAGTAAAAATATACAAGTACTATACTGTACTTTTTAACAAGTAATACAAAAAATCAAAGCTTATCTTATTTGGGGTGGCAACATTAAATATTTATTTATATTTCTACCTTCTGTCTATATTAATTAAGTAGTAAAGTTTATTAAATTTCGAATTGTGTTTATAACACTAAATAATTTAATTATTAGGGGGCATACCTCCGATCCTATAAATAAATTAATCTGCGATCAAATTGAGAGCCAGACATTTAAACTTATATTTAATAACATAATCAACTTTCCAATACAACAAAACTAGCATAACCTTTTAAATTAAGCACTTCGGCAAATATCCAGTTACATTTCAATATTGAACTAATTCTATAATTGTGTAATTTATAATATGTAATTACAAAAGCTATACAAGGTAGCTTTGAACTCCATTGAGTAGGAAATCAAACGTGACAGTTCCATTTTCATCAATGTTGAATGTAACTGGAGTGTTTCCTAGTTGTATGTTGTATCCTGATAAAGTAATGAATCACAGGTACATCGTTTAGGCCACGTTACAGTACAGGCTGACGCTGACGCAGATACCGCACTACGACACACTGTTTACTATCTAGCTCAGCAGGCCCCACAGTAATGCGATATCTTCGTATTGATTGTGATATTATAAACAATTGTCTTTTTTATTAAAAACCATTTTCAATACAATAAATAAATAACAAAATCATCACTGTAAAATGCAAATAGATATTCTAAATAAGGTGCATTTACGAAAAAACCTTTTTTTACTTATTTACAAAAGTCATCATAATCAAAATTCGAATATCAGTTTAGGTAAACAATAGCAAATCACATCTAAAACATACATAAAACCCACGTCTATGTACACTTTGCAAATAGAAAATATTACATAATTAAATCACAATGATCTCACGTACCTCTTGCAAGTGGCATTCATATGGTAGACATATCCAACACAGAACATCTCTCTCCCTTCTACATTATCAGTTATCAAGATCAACTTATACAAGTAATTTTTCGCTTACACTTATATCGTATTAGCTGTACAAATATTAAATTTTAGTCACAGTGTACACAACATATTGTATTTTTTTTATGTTCAATTTTAAAATCACAACTTCTCTAGGGCCAAGGCACAAATGTGATTACTTATAACGCCCTCTAGCTACGTTCATATAATTCAAGTTATTGGTTTATCTACAGAGTTGTACGTTACATAGGTACATTATATATAACATCTGACGAGGAACAGAAATATACAAGTAAAGGTATGATTGGTCCTATTTGTTCAACAAATATTTTGTTAACTACGAATTTAAATATTGTCAATATACTCTGACCTACTATTTAACAAAAATGTAAGGCCTCATCTCCTGAAAGATTCGATGAAGATAAGTATCCCGATGTACAGTGCCGAATACAGAAAGTGCCGCTAAACTACAATACTAGCATAAATCTACTGAATTAAGCAAGTGCCAAAGATTTTACAGAATCACCAAATGCAAGATATCTAAATATGAAACATTTCAATATTAATCAATAGTATTTATTTTACCTAAATAATCACTTTCGCTTCAATTTAAATATAATTACATAATATTGTAACGTAATGTCAATTACGTTCAAAAATTTATTAAATAGTGTATCGGCATAATCGCCATGTTCGCTTACCTCGGGATAAGACCTTAACATATACAAACATAGGATAGGTTTAGTATAAGTCATTGGCATATTGGCTGGTTAATTATAATAATAACAATAAAAGTTTAAATGAGTATGAATGAACGCCGAGGTTGCAATAAATTAAATTAACTACAGCAACTACATTAGAAGCCTCTGTTATAAAGCCCTATTACGCAATTCACAAATTACATTCATATAAAAATGAAGTGTCAGCTACACGAAATCCTCAGATCTAAGTATGAATAAAAAATTAATAAATAATAAATGTGTAAAGTATGGTATTCTTCAGACATCATCAGTTGTTCTCACGTGGATATTCGAGTTTTCCAAACAGCAGACTTCTCTCCTGTAAATATGTTGTAGAAGATATACATGAAATATGTACATAATATTATACATACTACAGTAAGTACCCTGACGGCCACGATAGCAAATAGGACATCGCAACACAAGCTAAAGCAGTTAGTTTTTACTAACCTGTCCTATGAGATTCCCCAGTAACATGATTAGTATGTCTAGGAACGATAAACTTCGATTCCTGGAACATCGACAACATCAAATCTTCGGTGGTAGGGTGATATTCGACTTCGTTTATACTAGCAACTAATGGGGAACTCTCGTAGTTCCTATTTGTGTCTCTGGTGGTGGGCGTAGCGCCGGAGGACCGAGTCGGATAGTCCACAGAGCGCGGCCTGCGCGTGTCCACGGGAGTCATCTTAGGGTTGACGTGGACATCTTTGTGAATGTATGGCTCAAGAGAGACGCTCGTTTCGTTTTCGTGTTCGCTGTTGTCGTCAGCGGCATTGTTCCCGTTGACCTCGAGCAGGAGTGGGCGCTGCAGTGTGGGTGACTGCACGGTTGACGAGTTGCTGTGTACCACGGACACGCACACTGTGTGCTTCACCGGGGACGTCGCCTCGCTGACGCTATCGTCGGGAAGACTGGCAACACTTCGGGACAGTGAGGGGCTGTGTGTGAGAGCGGTGTTGTCAGACTCGGAGTCTTGCTCGTTGGCAGGCGCTTCGACTTTAACTTCTTCAATGACGCTCTCCTCCTTAACTTCGGTTAGTTCGTTTACAGTTTCGGTCGTTCGTTTCACGTATTTCGGCATACGTAACGCCCAATGGCCGTTATGATCGTCAGAGGAACATGAATGCGTAACAATTGGCTTCTTGCGCTTATAAAATAGCATATAAGCGGTATTATTTACTAATTCACTGTAAGCATTTTCGTCGTCAACTGCGGTCACTTTCGAGTCATCGAATTTGTACCAATGTCCGTCATACGGGTTTTTACAAGCTGCCGTGTAGTGGCCAGTCTCAAGATCGTCACCGTGATGATAACAGATAGCATAGAGGTCGTACATGTTCTCCTGAGGGTTACTCGTGGGTGTCTTAGAATGCCTTCGCCTCGGTGACCGTGAGTGGCCGGGCGATTCAGCCACTTGTGTATTCCTTCTTACAAGATGTGGAGTCATATCAAAATCATTTAAAGGAAACTCTACCATTGCTGTTAACTTTGTGCTCGTACGACCTTTAGCTTGCCTGAAAACATGCATAAATTTAAAGATCCATACACATGTTAAATAATTTAGATCAACAAAATATTCTACTTACTGTCGAAACCGCTTTAAATGTATTACTAAAATATCTGGAAGAGACCAAAGACCAAGGGTCTTCACCACCGGCATATACCGCTGACACTGGGGACATCTGTACAAATATAAAAAGCTTGATTAGCATCCAAGTCCATTAAACAAATCATATACGTCTGTCTAAAAAAATGCAAAACCATAGAATTGACATATACATACGATACCTATATAGTACATTGTTATCATAAGCGTATGTTAGCATTGACTAGATTTTAAGTGTCGAATTTATTACCTTCATCTAGAACGATAGTGATGCAACATTAAAAAAAATTTGAATATTATCTTTTCTTTGCTTCATTAGATTTTTGAACGCATTCATACCAATGATGCAAAGAATCGGCGCCGCTTGGACACTCGAAACACCAAATTTATAAGTGCGTTGTCGACCTTTTGGGGGTCAGGTATTTCAACATAGAGGATTCCGATGATGAGATGGATTCTTCAGTAACCTTACTCATACAACGAAATCCAATCTTAGTTGTTACACGACAGTTTTCTATGAGGGAATAGGGTCGTGATTTTGAGAAATAGTCGTGGTGGCCCGGAAGTTTAGGTGCCCGCTTCACATGCTTAAGATTGCGAGTTCAAAACCTGGCAAGTACCAATGTAACTTTTCCGAGTTATTTTTTACGATTATTTAGACACCACCGGATTATAAGTTTGAGATCGCCAATCTGCCTTGAGGAGGCGTGGTGAGAGGCCATTGCTCATTAGTGGGCACTTATAGGCTGATGATGTGTATGAGAAACAGCATGGTACCTCCAGGCATCTTCCTGCGCGAGATGCTCAGCGCGCGTGTAGTGCGCGAGACAGGCGTGCAGGGTGAGCGGCGCGCCCGACCCCGCCGCCGACACGTGCACCTC